TTTCTTGTTCTCCATGCCCTCTCTACGATGATCTTGGACGATACCTCGAGCTCCTTGTTATTTTTGTTTTTTCCTTTGCTGGCTGCCTGCCACCTCTGCTGCCTCTTTGGTGCGGTGCCTACCCTACACTAATGCGCTGGTGCATACTGCACTGCTGTAGTACCTGGTACATACAGGTGTACGTTGTCCTTCGATTTTTTATTTTTTTTGTGGGGATATATATGTGTTTGTTTTTCGCCCCCCGTCTTGCTGCACCCCCTGGGGTGTGGTGCAGGGCGGGGGATGCCTGGTCGGCGGGAACCCGGCACGGAACCCTCCGGCGTTGTAGGCGGGTGTGGGAAGCATTCCCCGTTCTCCTTTTATTTTTATTTTGATCGGTCTCCTCGACGCTCTTTCTCGTTTGGTGCGGTAGCTGGTCTTTCTTTCTATCATTTTGTTTCTCTTCCGAGTGGGTTTTTGTACCCTATTTTTTTCTGTTTCTTCGTGGGGTCGTGTATGCCGGGTTTTGAGACCACGGGCTTCTTTTTTAGAACTAATGTGAGAAACAACAACAACAACAAAAACAAACCAGGTACTACAGCAGTGCGGTATGCACCAGCGCATTAGTGTACAACGTTGATTCAACTTCACGTGTCAGAAACAACACATCTCAGATCTTCGAGACTGAAACATAAGCAACAGCTGCCAGCGGTCTCCTCGAGGGGAAGGGCGTGTTACTGTAGCTTGAGAGCGACGAATTATTATGGGGGTGGTCGGCCGCCCCGTCGTCTTTACAGCAGTAGTGGACTTGACGAATACTACATCCGACGTTCCGACTTCCGACGTCGTTACATTCTTCGCATTTCGCAAAAAAAAGCGAAGAGGCGTTTTCGTTCTTCTCGTCGTCGAAGTGACAGAATTCAGCGCTGCTGCGAAAGCAGCGCGGGCTACTGACGACACACCCTCGGCTAGCGCCAGGTACTGCTGTGCCTTCATCGTGTCAACCGGCGACAGCAGCAGGCAAGGTCGGACGTGTGTGTACCCTGCATTGCAGCAGCGTTGGGGGGAACGGGGTAGAAGGGCCAATAACCGGCGCTCTTTGTCCACAACGGGGATTGTAGGACCGAACAGAAAAAGCGACACATTATTATCGTTGAGATTTCCCGGAGTTGGTCTCGGAGAGTACGAATGCAGCGGCGAAGAGAGGTTCAGCGGCATACTCGCGTGTCTTCGGCGGTCGAGAACGGCCACAGCCAGCAGCAGCAGCAGCAGCAGCAGCAGCAGAACGGAGGAGGACACACTATGTGCTTGGAGACAGCGTTTATCAACGGAGGCGGCGACGGCGGCGCCAACTGCCTGCGAAAGTCGACCCGGTTGGGCGGAGCGGCGCACACTGTCAGGTTGCAACTTCGGCAAGCCGTCCGCGCGGGGCGGAGGAAGAGCGCGGTGGGTATTGCCGCCTACCTGTTCGTGTGCTTGGGCCTTCTCTGGTGCGGCCTGCAGATTTCCGAGTTTGCCAAGGGCAAGGACGGCCATGCCGCCACAGCGGCTGCTGCTGCCGGTGAAGGCGCAGAGCGGCGGCAGCTGGCGGCGGCGGCGAGGGCTGACAATAGTGGGGTGAACCGGTCGGGCGACGTTGGTCCACGCCTTGCGTACGGGATCATGGTGTACCAGCGGAAGGGTTACTCGCCGCAGACTACCCTGGACCAGTTCGGCAGGATGCTGAAGGCGCTGTACGACGAGGAGAACACGTAAGCGAGACCATTTATTTTGGCTGGGCGAGAAGGCTGATTATATCGTGAATACACCTCAGTTCGTTCGTAACCATGCCATCGTTTGCGAATCATCGTTGTAAAGTAGTTTTGACGCAAGTGTGTGTGGTGTGGACCACGCGGAAATGCTTCGGACAGGGGGTCTCCCAAGCACTGCTGCATGTGATCTCTCCTTCATATATGTACTGCGCGTGTGAAGTGCCATGCAGCAGTGTAGCTTCACCCTCGCAAATATTTGCCTTCCCAATTACTCTTTCTCTCAATCCCGCTGTACCTACAAGATAATGATGTAGCTCCTGCTGGAACCACCGACAACAGCCATAGCCCTTCGTTTGCTCACTACAGGCGGTGATACATTTGTTCTACATGTACGATACTTGTAGAACCTTCTTGACTCGTTGTCCTGCTGCCTGCTGTCGAGAGAGCACATTGATAGAATGGCGATGTCGGACGCGCGTGCTGCGATGGCGATAATAATGATGACAATGCGGCCCTTGTACATGGAGTATTCGAGCTCTGCAGTGTGTCCGTGTCGACTCTGTGCGGAACAATACAATACAATCATGGTTGTTCGGATTCGCGCCTTTCCTCATCTCTTTTGTGCTTCGGTAGTTGTTGTTTTCTTCACATCAAGCTCGTGTCAGTTGCTAATCCCAAAATCTAGCGAAGACTCGTGGTCACAAAAATGCTAGAGCCATCAGAAGATCTAGAGAACACGCACACAATTAGCAAGGAAAGGGTTCACAAGCCCGAGGAGGTACACCTACAATCCCTGCAGCACGTTTGCGCTCTCACAACTTAACTACACGTCCACACACTACAATTCGACTACAGCAGCGGCATCACCCCCCTTGTCCCGCACTCAAACAAAATGAATGTCTGTCGACTACAGCGTACTGCTGTCTGAAGTGCTGTCTGTACAACAATAACACCATGATGCATGGTACACAAGCTCGGGGCATGCAGCCGCTATCTGAAGTGCTGTCAGAATGAGTCCGTGGACAAACAATGAAGCAGAACAACCAATCAAAGCCATCATTGCAATTGACAATCACCCGAATCTATCCAGATCATCTGTGTTAGACACAGCAGTGTAAACATCGACACTGACTAGGAATCGTTCCGCATTAAAGGGGTCTTCCACGATGCAGGTACACAATTAAGGCACCCGGGTTATCCGCGCCATCTCTGCCGCGTCTCTGTACAAAATCAGTGACGTCATAACACACACCCAACACCTTCATTCAGGAACAAAAAACAACGGAAAATAATTGACAACGCAAGAGATGTTTGTCCGTGCGTCACGGTTCGATGCCGTCCGCATGCTCCGGTTCCGCTGCTCCGGTGCCGCTTCTCCGGTGCCGCTGTGGCCAGTCCCAGCACGACCAAACTCGACCCGCTCTGCTTCGTACACGCTCTCGTTGCTGTCCCTCCCAGTCGGTTCCTCGCTTTCGCCCTCGTTGCACTTAGGGTTCTTGGTCTGAAAATTCTCGCACCGAAGGGTCAACCAGCCCAATCAGCTCGTCACCACCTGTCCCCTCCTCCTTTGATGGCAAAACCAGGTTACTGAGACAGTCAGCTCCCTCTTGCAAACCTAGGGCCGTGTACATAATGCCCGTCCACCTTTCTGATGGCGTCTGCCTCCGCGCACAAAGATAAGATGGGCATTGCTGCCTACACCGACGGCCTGGAGGCCCGCGCATCTGCACCGTTGTACCTTACGCACCAGTGCCGACCCAACTCCACCACTACGCACGCCTCGCGGCGGGTGCGCCGCCACAAGAAGGTATCGGTCTTGAGGGTGAGTCTAGCACTGCTCGCTAGAAAGACACCCCCCTCGTTATGGGTCATGCCTATGAGCAAAACCTTGCCGAGGCAGCGAGGGGAAGAAGGGGTGAAGTAGTATATGCAAGCGATTTCTAGGGTTGTGGAGAAATGGGAAGAGGAGCCGCCCTTGTCCAACAAATAATACTTCCCGGGCGTTGGACGGCCCTCTCTTCCTCTCACTTCCGCGTGTGCAAGCAACTGCCGTACGATTTTACCAGTCATGTCGTTGCATTAAACACTCCACACACCATTCCAGTCTGACTGAGTATCGTTCGCCTTGAATACATCGTGCGGCAGTGATTAGAACGGTTTTCTCGTGTTCAAAGAAAAAGAAACAGTTGCTCCCAGAACAGCACAATAACACCAAGTAGATTACAGCAGCAGGATCTACGGCGCCGGGGGTATGAAACGTAGCAATCTTGTCGAGCCTCAATTCCATGTTTTGGGTCGATGGGGCAGCCGAGGTCATCCAGATTTTCTTTCTGCTGTACACGAGTTTCATTTTTTCTGTTGCTTGTTCATGAGAAGAATACAACAAAAATTCATGCGCGTATGTACGGCATTACCCCGAACGACAACACAAGCGAGGAATTCTGCGTACGGCATTACACCGAAAGCTCGTTGTGGCGACCTTTGGGGACAGTAGCCCTCGTGAACTTTCCTGTTTCCTGAACCCCGAATCCCTCCTCCTGGTCTGATTGTTTCTAGCAGCACCGACGCCCCAATTGAGGCGGATGAGCCCCCCCCCTGCTACGACAAATAATGCACGGAAAGGAGAAGGGGGACGTTTCTCCGAACACGCTCCCCCCATCTCCCCCCTTTTCATTTCTATTGTTCATGCTCCATTCGCATACGTTGGGGTAGTCGTGGTCCTGGTTTAGCTGTCCAAGAGTGTCACAAAATGTTATATACTCCATTATTTTTTTTTTTCTTAATATCACATAACAAATCCATCTCTATCTATAGAAATACGTCTAAGATAGATTACCAATGAATCCATAGCGTGAGCGAAAGGCTACCTGTATGTCTACGGTTTCCCAGACAGCATACAACGATAACTCCCTTGTGAGTAACAGGCTCAACAAGGCAGTTTGGTAGCCATCTTGTGTATCAGTCTGTATGTTATGTTGGGAAGTTGTAGACGGAAGATTTAGGGGTACTCGGTTTGTCGGGTGTTGTATTATGGCACCCTTATGTGGTTGCGGAGCAAGCGCGTTTCGGGTTGTGTATAGTTTCGTCATCAACTCATTTTTTGTTTGTGATGTATGGGGGCATGGCGGCGCGGGAGGACATATCTACCTTGTGCGTGTGTGTGTTTTCGTCCTATGTGTAATGGCATGTCGTTCAATGTGAGAAGGGCACGGGAGAACATTATCTCATCGTTGCCTCCTGACGTGGCCGCCGATAGAGGCGTGTGGTTGGGGTTTCATCACTGACATGTGGGTGTGTGTTAAATCCAGTGGGTGTGGTCGCCTCTCTCGCCCGTGCGTCGGCCGAAGGTATAGCTACCTTTCCCATATATTTGTAGGCAGCGCGGACCATAAGTAAAGACAGAGTGCATCATTTCATGCATCTACATCATTTGTATGTTGCTGTTGTTGTTGTTGCTGTTGTCTTCACATTAAGAACCGTTCCGATCTCTGTCTCTACCCGGTACGTTCGTATGTCCGTACTGATCCAACATTCGACGTGGTCGATTCCCGTCGTCGCAGGTTGACATACTCTTAAAAGGTGCATACACTCAACAAATAAAATTGCCCCGAGGGGTCCGCAAGTCAATAGAAATCAACGACAGCTATTCTGGAGTCCTCCATTCCCTCTGCGCGCTTATTCGAGGAAACAACTGAGACTAGGGTCACCATCACGGGTCGGAAAGAATGAGGTACACTCCTTGGTTCAATCTTTGTGCATCACAACGCAAGCAGAGACAAGGCCATCTCGCACAGAAAAGAGAGAAAAAGACAAAAAGAGAGAAAAAGGCAAAAAGAGAGAAAAAGACAAAAAGCGAAGAAAAGTATGTGGGAAGAGAGGAACGAGAGGTTGTTCTATTATAGCTTACAAGCAGTTTTGACGGTGTTGTGTATGGGTAGGGGGAATACTACCTATGTCCGTGTTGTTCCCAGATGTTTTTGCCGCTTTTGAGGGTATCGCCGCTCAAGTCTATTGGCAGTTTTTTTCTAGTTTGACTCTTTACCGAGGCGCAGCCGTGCCACGGGACTTCGGGACCGCTTCTCGGGGCATCCCGCTAAACCGGGAACCGCTAACCGGGACCACGGCTGCGTGTATCATATGATCCGGTCCCGTGTCGGATATTTGCTTGCGTTGTGGTGAAGATTTACGGTGTGCTTGTCGTAGACGGTGCAGAGAGTACAGACACGGGGCCGCCAGGAGCTCGCGTTGTTTCTTAACCCGTGTTTCTCGTTTTCCATGACAAGTAATCGAGTCCCATGTTGTTTGTGCTTCGTGAAAGTATTCTTAATGGCGGGCCCGTTCTGCAGTACAGTGGTACAACCTACAACCTGAACGGTGCTGCGCAGACAACACGATGTGATTTTTCCTATGCATAGACACCTGATAGAGATGAAACCAATCCGTCGTTAACCACATATGAGTATTAGACCGGGATTTGTGTTTCGGTGTTCACGAGCACGTTTTTTGAGTGTGACGTTTCGACTCGGACTGCCTTCGGCGAGATTAGTGAATTTATGATATGAGGAAACAGAGCGGGGAGGGGGGAACACAGACCGTACCCCTAAAACTCCAACCCAACTTCCCCGATTGCATGCTTTATCCAACGTGCTTGCTGAATACATCAAACCTTCCAGTCGGTTCTAATCCGCGTGCTGAAAATATTTCCAACACATCCCTTTCGACTGAGGTTATATCTCGTACGGGTAGTCTTTCTGTCAGGTTGTTCGTTTATTTTCTAAAAACCCGCGAAGGGTACTGGGACTGGCGTTCGTGACCCTCTTTGTTTTGTGTTTGTTGCTTTGTTCTTTGCCCCTTTTGCCACGATCTTCTCTTGTAAACGTGGCGAACGTTTCCGACTGCTGTTCGCGCCCGCAGGTATGTCATCCACGTGGACATCAAGTCGGATAAGGCCCTCCTCGACGCAATCTCGCACCACATCAAGGACCTGCCCAACGTTTACGAGGCGAGAAGCATGGAAGAGCCGTAGTTCGTTGTATGCAGAGGTTTTCCCCGCGTGTACAGTAGTCTATAGATTAAAAGGAGAAAAAACCCAGCGTGGGTACACCCTCCTGTGTGACCCCGGACGGTGCGTCTAGCCAGTTGTAGTGATCAAGTACGCTGAGAAGTGAAAGTGCACATACGCGACAATGCGTATAGTATGCACCGAAGAGGAGTAAGCAGGCGGCGCCAGAGATGGGACCAAAAAAAAAAAAAAATTACATACATGAGCCCCTCAGCGTGTCATGTGTAGGTACATGTGTGTGTGTGTGTTTCTATGATTGGCATCGACGGCACTAAACGGTTGACCAATGAAAAGACGTCAGTCTTACAGTAGTGCGGTTGAGTATGCAAAACATTTCTAAATGCTACAAGCGGGACCCCCGTGAGGGGGCGGCATGGGGGAGATTGATCTGTTCTGGGGATCAAAGACAAAATTGGTAGCAACAGAAGAAACCTGCACGTGTCGATGAAGGCTGCGACCTTGCACTCTAGTTCGTTTTGGAGTGCTTTCACCATTATCCTCCTTCCTTCCTTATCCATTGTTTTCATTATCGTTTTCACAGCAATTTTTCGACTTTTTCTTCTCTGGTCTTGCGCCGTTTGTGGTGGAGAAGGTCATCTGGCTGTGTGTGTATGTGTTCGTATTTTTTTTTTTGAAAATATAGATAATCTCAAAGAAAGACTGCCCATTCGAGATATAACCACAGCCGAAAGGGATGTGCTGAAGCCGTCACATATACTTTTTGTCTTGCGCCAGTCTGCACACATTTCATGTGTAACGTGTTAGCAGGGGTCACACAAGGATGTTCCTCTTTTTTTCTTGTGTGCACCTTTTTCTCCAGCCGTGCTTGCCTTAGTTTTTATATGTATTCATACGTGAGGAGTGTTCTGAGCGATACATATCCCACGAAGTAATGGTCGGAAAGGGCAAGGATCGCTGCACCAGCTTTCCTGCAGCAACATTGAGCGAGGCACGACAGAAAAAATATTGTTGAACGTGTGGCGCCCCGGAGCACTCTCGCGAGAAATATATCGTTAAATCCACGTTGATGTAAGCTATCACAAAGGTCAAAGTTAGCTAGGGGTAGCAGGATAACAGAGAAATCAACAGTGAGAATGGCCGTTCGTGCATGCTGAAAACGCCGCGCCTGCTGCTGCTGTGGGCTTGTATCTCGCACGCTCAGGTGCCGTCCGTGAGCGTGAGCTGGGGGGGGATTACGGTGGTGGAGCGAACCCTGGCCTTGATGACCAAGGCCGTCGAGGTGGACAGCTCCTGGAGGTTCTTCGTCAATCTCGGACACGTGAGGGAGAGAGAGAGAGAGAGAGAGGAGGGCAAGGAGGAAAGACAGACGAACAGACACGCAAAGAGAGAGGGGGGAGATAGGGGGTAGGGGGGGTGGGGTGGGTAGGTTTCTTCTTTTTTGGGGTGTGCTTGTTCGAATCGAAGCGGTACTCCAGCCGACCGTTGCTTGACTTTGCTTGAGTGTCGCGGGGGGGGGCGCCGCGCCGTGCCTAGTTTCGCCTGCAGGCAGGGGGGGCATACCTTGTCTACAAGAGGAAAGCCGTGGGACGCCTTTGTAAACGTGATGTAATCATGGGTTGTAATGTCGGAGTACTTTCACCCCGACATTTGTGTACGAGTGATTTTAGAGTTTTTTTTTTTTTTACCGGCAGGAGCACTTACCCCGACATCGTGCATGCATAACGATGCCAATCTGTTGGTGTCGTTTTTTTCGGTTGTTCGTGCATGCGCAACGCTGTTTGTGTTTGTTTTTGTCGTTGTCGGCAGGAGGATTACCCGTCCGCGAGCCAGGCCGAGATGCGGCGATGGCTCAAGGACCAAAAGGACGGGACTAACTTCATCAAGTGCTGGCCCATCGAGGGGCATGACTTTTTCGGGCAGATGGAGAGACACGAACAGCGCGTGCAGGACGTGAGTCTCTTTGGCTTGCATGCATAGCTTTTCGTGTGTTTTTTTTTCGTCACCTGCTGTAGAACAGTTCGCCATCAAGTGCTACCCCATCGAGGCCGGTTCCATTTTGACGCACACGTGGACAAGCAGTGTTATCACGTGCGTACCCACACGGGTCATCCCCGTTTGCCCCTAATGCGGGTGGGTTACCTGGTGTCACCCCCCCCTCTCCCTCCCGTACCGGAGGAGCCTGCGGACTGGATATAGTGTTGTTTTTCTGTCAGACAATGCTGAGACCAGCACCTTTTCATTGCCAAGTCAAGGATTTCCCGGAAAAACACCGCCCACATAGGTACACCACGTGCTGTTTTCTTCTGATGCTGCGGTTTCTGTCTATGTATAACTCCGGATAGTAGCTTAGCCTCCCCGCTCGCCTCGCGGGGTCCCAGATCATGGTACATGTATTTGGAAGCTTCTGACCCCCGTTGGGCTTGGGTTCCGGTTTGACGTCATCGTTACTTTCCACCGCAGAACAATAAGAGAGACAGAAATGCTGAGAAGGAGACGAAGTGTAACTCTGTAGACGCAACAGCTATCTCCACCTATTGACCAGCGGGTAGCCCGCGACAAAAGGTGGTGGCCACCGACAGAGTCATTGAAAAGTTGCTTGGTGGTCATACTGGGCCCGGTAGGGCAGGTAGGCTTGTAGACCTTGAAATGATCAGCCGTGTAGCTGCCTCAACTACTCTATTGATTATTATATTCCAACGAGATCAGGAACAATTATCAGTGAGAGGCCTTGTAGGACCATATCTAAGTGTTCACTTCTCTGTACTTCTGTCCCCTCCTCATGTTAGCCCTGAACGCTCACTGGAACTCCTGTTTTTCCCACCATCGCACAAGCACATCAGCACGCCAGTACACACCTACATAGCAGCTTTCTTTTGGTTCGGGGGAGGGTATGTGTGGAGCTATGATGTGTGTGTGTATGTGTGTGCATGTAGCCTGTGCTAGTTTGTTTGACTCATCTACACTGCTGTTGTGTAGTGTAGCCGCGGACACGATGATTGCTGGATCTCGGCAAGGTACGGTTGAATCAAGATGCATGCAGCATACGCATACCACGATATCCTGGCTTCGGCTGGGTTTGAAATACCCCTTGTGCAGCCGTCCGATCGTTGGATCAGTGGCTGCCTAGGTTCGGGCGAGGGTACGAGGGTGTGGTGCTGTCATGTGTGTCTCTGTGAAAATGCGTTGTAGTGAGATCAGTTTTGGCATTCGCATTTAGCGCACTGCGTACTTTTCGAATTCTGGCCCCGCTTCCCGAGACGTGGTAGTTTTTTTCCGCGGGGACTGTTGGCCTTTCATTGGTCAGCCGGTTAGCACGGTTGATGCTAGTAACACACACAACGCACACGCACGCAGGTTAACGTGGACGACTTTATGGGCGGGGTGAAGGAGTACCGCACCGTTAGCGGTAAAACGGGGTCCCAGGA